GCAAACGGTGACCGGAGCAGCAACGTATTGCACAAGCGGCGGCGCCGAACCTGTGTCAACGTAACAGAAGAAGAACGGGGAAGGAAAAGAGGTCATGACTCCGACTAGTGAACGGAAACAGCAACAGATCACGTCCACTAACTGGCCACGGCCCCGACGACCAAGGGTAGTCCTCGTCGACAAAGGAAGGAATGCAACGGCGGCGCTTCTGGTGGTTCTACGGCGTCTGTTGACGAGGCAACAGGCGGACTGGGCTGTCGGACTCGGTGATGCCAAAAAGGGGTGGCTGAGGAGGGCTTCTTTGGTGGTGGAGGACTGCCCTTGGTCGTCGGTGGGAGACATAAGGGTGGAGGGATGCGGCTGCAAATGATTGATTAGGGTTAGGGTTTGTGGAACCTTTAAATACCCGACACCATTCTAAAACTTTGCCATAATGACAACAACAGTCCCTCCCTTCCCTTTTTCTTTTCAAACTTAGTCCATATATTACCATTTCAACCCCATCCATGAAAATCCATTACAAATTAAGTCCCATATTTTACTAAGTGGCCCCTCCCTCTACAATTATTTTCAAATGAGGTCCATAATTAACTCTTTAGCCCCTGTTTTCATAAATCATTTCATATTTGGTCTAATACTTACCAAACATCCCCCTGTCTTCTAAAATATTTACAAAATAAATCTCGAATTTATACTTTGACCCCTGAATAATCCAACTTATGGCATTTGGCTTCCCAAAACCAACACCTTGCTATATAATTATTAATTTTAGGGCTACGATTCATTCATTAATTTCGTCTATTTATTTATTAAATAAACGGGGTGTTACAACTTTCGCATACGAACTCCGTTTTTGGCGTTCTTTATATCCACGCGTAGGTGAAATTATGCTCTACAACTTTCGTTTAGACTCTGTCGGCTAATTTTGACTTTATTTTTAAAGTTATATTTTTAACAAGCCGGGATAGGAAAAGTCCGTTAAAAATTCATAACTTCTTCATCCCGACGTCCATTTTCGTTTGTCTTTTTACCGTTGTACTACTATTGACGAGATCTTCGATTCTCGTTTAGGTTGTGTCGGCTAAAAATCACTCGATCTTTATTTCGAGTATGGGGTTGTGTACTGCTATGCCGATTCTTAGAAAAATCATAACTTCCTCATACGAAGTCAGATTTGGACGTTCTTTTTATGAAAATTCTCGGTTTAACAAATACTACGATTTTCATTTAGATCACTAAGGCTAAAAAGTAGTTTATCGTAAACTCACTTTTTACGTCATATGGCGTCGTGCCGGTTCTATCGCGAAACTTCAATAAGTCATAACTTCTTCGTTATAACTCGGATTTTAGTGAGGTTTTCGACTAAACGTTTCTAATGAGATAATTTACAACTTTCAATAACATTATTTTTACTTATTTCCAACTTAAATTTTACATTTTCGTTAATTTCAATATTTGACTTTTGATTGCAATCTCATAAGACTTCCCATACTTCCCGAATGTTTCTAAACATAGTTTTACTTTAAATCTCATAAAACTATCTTGTTAGAACTCAACACTCGAATTCATATATTTAATAATAATATTCATTTTTAAACAAAACACGATAACTGAACGTGTATGTTACATTACGAAAATGGTGTGGTTTTAAAAATATTTACCATTTAGGTTATATTTTATACCAAATCAAAATTAGAAGGTAAAATAAAAAAAATGACTTATCAGGCTAATTAACTTTTCGGTTTGTTCACATCCAGATAACTAATTTTTTGTACACATCTAGATAACGAACTTTTTGGAAGTGTTCACATATGACCATTATGCCCGGATGTAACCTGTTATAGCCGGTCATAATGGTCATATGTGAACACTTCCAAAAAGTTCGTTACGTAGATGTGTACAAAAAAAAAAGATAATTACCCAGATGTGAACAAACCGAAAAGTTAATTACCTTAATAAGTCAATTTCCGAAACACAAATTGTGAATTCTTTTATATATACAAGCCTTGTACAATATATCACTCTATAGTTGTAATAGATAAATTAGCTTTCGGTAGGGCTTCAACGAGTTGTACATATGCATTTAAAGTTGTACCGGTCCAATGAGTACAATAAAAAGAAAACTCGAACCTGGACCGGCCTCAACAGGTCCGGTCTAAGGTCCACAATATATGTCAAACCGGTCTGGTCCAAAAACCAGTCGTACCGGTCCAATGAGTAAAAGAAAAAGAAAGCTCGGACCTAGACTGGCCTCAACAGGTCTGGTCTAAAGTCCACAATATCTACCAAACTGGTTTGGTCCAAAAACCGGCCTGATTCGTTCCAAATGCTCAGGTGATTAATTAGATGAGAGAAAATTTCTCGAGGATTAATAAATGGACGTCAAGGGTCATTTTAAAGATACGATTTTTTAAATAAATTAAAATAATCTAAAAATTTTAATATATTTGATTAATGGGTTTAGGTTATTTTTGGTCACTTAACTTTTGGTTTTGTGCTCATTTGGTCAGTTAACTCTTTTTTAGTTTTAAAAGGTCATCAAACTTTTGGCTTTATGCTCATTTAGTCACTTAACTTTTGGTTTGGTCACCTAACTTTTAAATTTGTGCTCATTTAGTCACTAAACCTTAAAAAATTTAAAAATTTAGTGACTAAATGAGCATAATTTTAAAAGTTAGGTGACTAAATGAACACAAATCCAAAAATTAAGTAACCAAACCAAAAGTTAAATGACTAAATGAACACAAAACTAAAAGTTTGAAGATATTTTATAATTTAAAAAGAGTTAAATGACTAAATGAGCATAAACCAAAAGGTAAGTGACCTAAACCCTTGATTAATTTATGACCATTCAAATTCTTTTTAGTTAACTTTTTTACACTCCCACGAGCATTCTATGGTATTTCGAAGACATTGCTATAAAGTTACACTCCTAGATATTCCAAAATACAGAGGTATAAAACAAAATTGAGCATATCTCTATTCAAAGGAACTTCAAGTTGGATGCTATGTAAAAAATCAGCAAGCCATACCATCTTTATAAAAACAAAGTTTTATAGATATTTTAATCAAATTGGATAGCAGACTCATAATATTTATGGTACACTATAAAATCAAAGTCTAAATAAGGTTTGAATTAGATTAGATAACATGAAAACACTAATACATTGTTTTTTTATTGTTTTGTAAATTAGGTTTATATAAATAGAGATATGATCGGGTGAAAACTCTTTTTTCGATGAGGACTCGTAAGGACACCTTAAAAAATTGAAAAAAAAATACAAATCATAAAATCGAGCATAGTACTATATCGGAGAAAAAAAATTGGAAATAAAATTTTGGATCATTAAATTGAAGCATGAATCATTTTTATGATCTATGATTCACTTTTTATGATTCATGATTCAATTTTAATGATCCAAATTTTTTTTTCTAAATTTTTTTCTCTCCGATATAGTACCATGCTCGATTTTATGTTTTATATTTTTTTCAATTTTTTTAAGATTTCCTCACTGAAAAAATGTTTTCACCAGAACCGGATCCTATATAAATATTTATGAATTGAATTTTTAGCGTAAATTAATACTATATTTTTAAAGTGACCAAAAAATATTGATAGAAACATAAATTTTATAATATTTATTAAATATTTCTTAATAATTATTTAATTGTATATTTGTGATACGCACAACGCACCAAAATGGCAAAATACGCCTAGTTTGCTGATAAAGGGGCCCCCATTCTGTTGAGCAGTCACTATCATGCCAAAAAGACATTCGGTCTCCGTAGCCCAACACCTTTTTGAATAGGCCCATAAAATTGATGTGTGCTGCCCACCTATTCCTAATAAACCATTGTCATCACATAATATCCAATTTCTAACTCATTCTATTATAATATTGATATCATTCATTGAAAAATCTACTCGAACTTATAATATTATATTTTTAATATATTGTTTCTCAAATATCAGCCTTAAAAAATTCCACCTAATAACGACAATAAAAATATAAAATTATTTTAGATTTAAATAATATTGCTATTATGTATTATATGTTTCAAAACCCAATATCATAATAGAAAAAAAGTAAAATATAATCCTATATTAAAAATCAACAAAAATACATCGTTAATGTCATAAAATAAAAACCAATAATTTTTTAAAATTTAGAGTTTAATTTGTTCTTTAGATCACTCATGACTCATCATTAAATAATCTTTTGTGTTTTTATTACCTAGATGGATTTTAACCGTATAATTTGGTACTAAATTTTATATGGACAGTGTTGTTTCGTTTTTACTTAATCCAGATAGAATCATTACATTCCATAATTTAATAATACAGTGTTGTTTCGTTTTTACTATATAACAAGTTAATACAAAAGTGAAAGTTAGTCCTAACTTTTCACCAACACTAACTCATTATATCGAATTTAGCCAATAAAATATTATTATTATTTGTTACTTTTATAATAAGAGTTTAGTAGTTAAAACGATAAAATATGAAAAGCATGTTGTGTTTTTTTTTGTCGCCCTAATATCAGAATTGGGTAACTAGGAAAAATGGTTTTTTGGGTTTTTATTACCTATTAAAATGGATTTTAACATTATAATTTTTTACTAAATTTAATGTGGACTTCATCCAGAAAGTTACAATTAAATGGATTTTAACATTATAATTTTTTACTAAATTTAATGTGGACTTAATCCAGAAAGTTACAATTTGTTCATTTATATCTATGTGACGCTATAGTATCCAATATAACATAATAACTCTTTTAATATCCACACCAATGGTATAATCTTAACCCAAAATATAAACTATCCGATACAATTAAAAAGACAAATGACCTAAACAGCAAATTAAATATTATCAGTTGTCATTTACGACATTAACACTTTCTTATGTTTAACCCTAAATAAAAGTGAACGAGCAACTATTCCAAAATTTAAATAAATAAGCCACTTAAAACCATTTTATTGAAAGCAATCTCATAAGTCATAATTTATTATTGTTTCCAAAATTTAACTACATGTCAACATAAAAACCCCACAAACTTGAACAAACAAACACAAAATTTTTTAAAACTTCAAAGAAAGAGAGTTTTGGGATCCCATTCTTCTCTTCCTTAGCCTTTCTGCAATGATGAAAGATAACTCAAGGGATTGAGAAGCATTTAGCCTTGGGTCACAATGTGTGTGGTATCTTGAGCTTAAATCATCAAATGTCACTGTGCGGGACCCACCAACACACTCTGTCACATTCTGACCTGTCATCTCCAAATGAATGCCACCTGGATGGCTCCCTTCTTGCTCATGAACATCAAAGAAAGCTCTCACTTCCGCCTGTTTCCACAAAAAAAAAAAAAAAAAAATCGTTACATTTTTGACTTGATAACTAAATCGATAAAATGATGAAAATAGTTTGTGGTTTTTTAATTGGTCAAAAATATCAGAATTAGGTAACAAGGAAAAATGGTTTTTTAATTGGTCAAAAAACGTACAATGGATTTATTACTAAAGAAAATAGGTAAAGTGCTAAATCGACAAAAAATGAGGAAAACACAAGTGTACTTCTCTTTGTTTTATCTTAGTTTATACGCCAAGTTGCCAACTACCAACACTAGTAGTGGGAAAGGACATAATAGTCTTTTTGACTTTTTCAGTCTTACTTTGACATAAAGCAACAAAGAATTCAGGCTCCATTCAAGGAATTTAGATATCCTATCAAGTATCAAGAATATACCCTTGATTTTTTTTTCATAGAGCTTATCAAATTCCCATCTCCTTTAATAATAATACCAATTTTACCCCTTATATATGAAACAATAAAGAAAATCCACAAAAGGTCATTTTCATCTTTAATATTCCATTTCCCAGAAGGTTACTCCTTGACTCCTTGTTGACCAGAAAGTCACTGCTTTGATTTTAGGTGTTAATCTCATAAAAGACCTTATATTTTATGTTTTTTCCAATTAAACCACAAATTTATTTTTTGCCTGAAAAAGACCTTGTATTTTTTCATTTTTTCCAAAAAAACCTCATCTTTGTCTTTTTTCTGAAATAAACCTTGAACCTTCTAACTACTTCCAAATAAACCCTCAACTTTTATAGTTTTTCTCAAAAAAAAAAATATCACATTTTACAATTATTTTGGAAAAAAAATGACTAAAAGGACCGGATCGGAAAAAAATGAAAAAAATACGAAGTCTTTCTTTTTCAGGCAAAATAAATAAATTTGAGGTTTAGTCCGGAAAAAATCAAAATATAAGGTGTTTTATGAGCTTAATCTTTGATTTTAAAACAAATTCTTAGCAAAACTACAAATCAATTTCATTTTTTCTTGCGAAATCTCAGATAAAGTCCCAATATTTTGGGTTAGTTTAAAGTTTAGTCCCAATTTTTATTTTTTGAATAGAAAAGTCTCGATTATTTTATACTTTGCCCAAATTAACGAAATAGTCCTTATTTTTCTCAACAGAAAATGACAGATTATCGTATAAATTTAGATAATCGGGACTTTTCTACTCAAAAAACAAATGTTGAGATTAAACCGTAAACTCGCCCAAAATATTGAGACTTTATCAGAGATTTCCCTATTTAAAAATACAAGTGTAGTAGTAACATGATTATATTCATACCTATTCGTATACTGTTTTTCACTTAAAAACAATTATTAATAGTGATTAAAATTTATAAAATGATGAGAATTGTTACCAAAATGGAATCAAAGGGGCGTGTTTTAAGGCCAGATGGAGCTTTTATGGTGTTTCCATGCATTGGATCACAAACCCAAGTCACAACTTGTCCAGCTTGTCTCACTGCTTTTATCAATGGTGAAAGCTTCACTCTCATGTTTTCAGCTCCCATTCTTACAATAACTGTAATTCTTCCTGGTTTGTTATTAGGGTTTAGTATGTCAACAAGCTTAACTAGCTCATTTGGATCCATCTTTTGACTCACCTGAAAGAAAAAAAAAATTATATTTTTAGACACCAAATTTGTAAAATACCAAAAAACGTACACTTGACAACAAATAAGCACTTGTATTTTTACCATTTGATCATTTAAAGTTTGATAATCTGGCAAAATAGAGAAGCACAATATAGTGCTTTCATTATTTTATCAACCGAAATTTTATTGTAACAATAAAAAACAAAAAATAGGTGACTAGCTTAAATCGATAATATGGTGAAAGTACTTTTTGCCTTTTTGCCTTTTTTAAAATACCTGATAACTAAAAAAAAAGTCACTTTTAAACAATCAAAAGAAGAACGAAGACTTAATCACTATTCACTACAAAAAATAGTTATTGACTACATCGAGGTAAAGTTTGATATAATTAAAAATACAAAAAAGCCCAACATACTTGTGTTTTATCTATGTAGCTACTAAACTATTATTACAACAATAGTTGAGTAGCTAAATTGATAAAATGAAACTAGCTTTTATTTTACGGTTTTACCCCTATCAAAACCAAGGTATCAAGGGATAAAAACATTTTTATATTTCAGCCTTAAAAATTAAAAGGGTTTGTTCGACATTCATGTCTAAATAAGGAGATAGATATATGATTAGCAATATTGAATATCCAATACCTTAATGCCAAGTGGATTAGCAACGCCACGTAGGAACTCAACGTGGGCCCCGTCCAGCTGGCGGGTACGTTCCCCAACCCAAACCATATGGGCCGAGCAATCATAGTAAAGGCCAGAAGTAGTATCAAGCCTAGTCAGCGATTGTTCATAAGGCAAAAGCAAACATTCATGAGATGTCCAAAAATCGGTTGTTGCCATGATAGGGTGGTCAATGGTCAAACCAGCAGCAGACATAAATCCCAAGGCCTCATCCACACGGTGTGCAAGCTCCTGATACCTATTTTATTTCAACAAAAAAATAGCAATGTACTTTACTTTCATTTATTTGTGTATTTTTGCACTTTGAAAAATTCACCTAATTATTGCAATGAAATCGATGTAAATGTTCTTGATAACAAGAAAGTTTAAAAAGTTTAATGGTTGCTTTTGTTAAAAAGCCAAAGAAAATATCTTTCCAAGAATGAGCAATTTTGGACAATTGTGCCACTTACATTTCCTTATAACGAGTTTTATTTTAATTTGTTTGCAATGAAAACCCATGTAATGGGTTGGAAAAAAGTAACCTAATGTGGATTTTGTCCAATATTTAGCAACAAGTTTAGGACCTCAAAAATCAAAATGTAAATGAGGGAGTACAATTAGAATACCAAACAATGATTAAAGACATATGAAAATGAAATAAACTAAGGGTTAAATGCACATTTATTCATCAAAGTTTCACTTTCTCCCAATTTGTGCAATAAATTGGTTTTTGATAAAAATATATGCAACACCGTTTCATTTTTTAGGGTCAAAAGATGCAATATTTTTCGAGTTCCTGGTTACAATGCTGCATCTTTTGGTCCTTAAATGAAATGCCATTGCATATTTTGTATAAAATAAAACAACTTTGTTGCATAAATTGAGAAAAGAGTGAAACTTTGTTGCATAAATTGTGAAAAGAGTGAAACTTTGTTGCATAAATTGAGAAAAGAGTGAAACTTTGTTGCATAAATTGAGAAAAAGGTGGAACTTTGTTACATAAATTGAGAAAAAGGTGAAACTTTGTTGCATAAACTGAGAAAAAACTGAAACTTTGTTGCATAAATTGAGAAAAAGGTGGAACTTTGTTGCATAAATTGAGAAAAAGGTGAAACTTTGTTGCATAAACTGAGAAAAAACTGAAACTTTGTTGCATAAATCCATATTTAACCCTTAAATTAACTAAAAGCAATTTACTATTTTCTCTTTTGCATACCTGTCACCCTGTTCACTATTTGCAACAAAATCAAGATTCCACTGAGTGACTCTTTGCATTGCAGCATAACCTCCAGTGGCAAATGCCCTAAGAAGATTAAGAGTAGCTGCAGCTTGACAATATGCTCTAATCATTCTTTCAGGGTCTGGAATTCTTGATTTCTCATTAAAAGCATCACCATTGATGTTGTCCCCTTTGTAACTTGGAAGCTTTACCCCATCTTTCTCCTCATATGCATCTGATCTTGGCTTTGCAAACTGACCAGCCATTCTTCCAACCTAAAAGAAAAAAAAAGCAATTCATCATGTAAAGATTATATTACACAACTTCAATCTCATTTAAATGACAAGTTTTTTATCAAAAAACTATTGTGAAACGTGGTTAATCTTTAATGAAATTGTTTCAATAAACTTGTCATGTCTATGTATCACCACAACAAAATATATGAAATTTCACAATGGAACAAATAAACCCTTTAACAAAAAGCTTCTGAATCTTGATTGATAGTTTGTCACATTATTCCAAACAAATTTGTAGAGATTAGAGCCTAATTTTTTAAAAATAACATGTGCAAGAGTATACAAAAATCCAAAAAGTTAAGAAGTGTATCTATCGAGAGGAATCAACTAGAATTTGTTTTGCATTCCACAAAAAGACAAGGTAAAACGAATCAACCAGTTTATCATAAAGTATAAGCTAGATTCAAGAGTACGATTCATGATTAATTATAAAGCAAACGTGTTAACAGGGATGATGAATTATCATGGTTACCTTAATTATTGGCATCTGTCCACCAAACATCAGAACGACACTCATCTGCAGAAGCAATCTGAAAGTATCACGAATATTATTAGCACTGAACTCTTTGAAACTCTCGGCGCAATCACCTCCTTGCAACAAGAACGCCTTCCCCACGGCGGCATCGGCAAGGCGCTCCTCCAAGTGTCTGGCCTCCCCGGCGAACACGATCGGAGGAAAGTCTTCAAGGGTTTTAAGAACAGCGGCGAGACTGGCTTCATTAGGGTATTCCGGAAGCTGTAAAGCTTTCTTAGATTTCCAACTGTCAATGCTCCATCGTGTCGGCGCAGGCGGAGATGGGGTTTTCGTAACGCTCTTGGCAGGCTCTGCAGCGTGTACGGCGGAGATGGGTTTTGGTTTCCGGTAGGAGTTGTTGGCTGGAAGGAGAGAGAAACTTGGTTGGTGAGATTGGTGGGGAGAAAGGTAGGTTTGAATCAGCGATTTGGAAGACAGAGTGGAGGAGTTTGAAAGTGCCATTGTTCTCTCTTTCTTTACCACTACCCGAGGTTGGTGTGTTTGTGTTTGTGTTTGTGTTTGTGTTTGTGAGAGGTCAAGAACATGAGTTATATACAAGGGAAGAGTTGGTGAGATTTAGAAGGGTCAAATTGAGTTTTGGGGTAGGTAGCCATGGCTGCAATTGAGTGGGGACAAATCTGGTGGGATGGTGAAATTCTATTTAATTATATACTACACATGGGAATAGGAGTTGGATCTAGATATGTGGTCATTGACTAAGCATTCTACAATTAAAATTAGTAAAACTACACGTCTCCTTCAAATTTCCTCGATATCTCGGAGCAAAAACTGTCTTTTTTGAATAGTAACCCGTTTTATATTAAGGCAAAAACCAACAATTCAATCTCATACACGTCACTCTTTTGATTCTTACTCGCAACCAGGTTTTTATTAAGCTCTATATACCTCTTGTGTAGATCTTACTTCTGTCTTTAACCATGATAACATTGTCCGTTAGATTCTTTAAAAAACGATGTAGGATTCCATCATATATATATATAGAAGCACTCTAGTCGATGTTTAACTTTGACATGCCCCATAAATTGAAGGCTCGATGAGATTAGACGTTTAGACTATATGTGTGTTGGTCCCTCATGATACTAGCTCCTGAATGAGATACCAAGTGATATGTGTGGACTGTGGAGTCATTTAATTTGAAGAGAGATGTGACACCTTAACATAAGATGTGGTTGTCACTAGTTGATGTAAGACTCACATCATCAGAGGGATATTTTGTTTCAACTTTTATTTGCAAAAGTATCTTCACATTACGGTTTGTGAAACTTGTATAATCATAGTTGGGCTAGTGAAAGTTGATGGTATCCATGTTACAACCCTCTACAATAAGTTATAACAGTAACATAAGATGTGGTTGTCACTAGTTGATGTAAGACTCACATTATCAAAGGGATATTTTGTTTCAACTTTTATTTGCAATGGTATCTTCGCATTACGGTTTGTGAAACTTGTATCAATCATAGTTGGGCTAGTGAAAGTTGATAGTATCCATGTTACAACCCTCTACAATAAGTTATGACAGTAAAGTTCTCGTCTTGTTGTAAAGTAGCCCCCTGTAGTTCTCAATCAACTTCATGACTTCAACTGATTCACTTAACTTATACCTCACCAAGTTAGTGATCAAAACTCCATCTATCAAAGATCTATGAGGTGTCTTTTTGGTCATGTATGATGAACTGATCGAGTAACTATTAGGCTTTGTGCACCTAACCTTAATGATTTCTTATAGCAAAAACCTCCTTATATAATATTAACTTTTTTGTTCATCTAAAGTAGTTTTTCCCTTATAGATAACACCTAGGAGTGTTGATCAAGCACGTTCCATTGTTCCTTAACTACTTCTTTAACAGAAAAATTACCATTTTGGCTACTATCTTCAAGGCTCCAACTTCACCAATTTTTACCAATTTCTTTCTTAAAGCCACTTTGTTATGCTTTCTTGCCATTTCCCATGCTTCTTTTATGGAGATCCCTATATCCTTAGACATTTTCTCAATTAAAGGCTTAGTGACTCTTTTCTTTGTATGGGAAATGGTTAATTCAACATTAGTTTGACACTTCTTCGCCTTCATAATGGATCTGCTAGGAGTGGAGTCTTCAAGATCATTAAACTCTCCTTCTGATTGTGATTGATAAGAGTAGAGTCTTCATGTTCATTAGACTCTCCTCCAGTCTTCCTCAACTGAAGACTGTTCTTACCCATGATAGAAAATGGAGAGAGAAGAAGGTGAAGCTGTAGAACTATAAGGAGTTGACTTTGTTTGTAACACCTGTTTCTCAGGTACTTTTCACTTATGGCTGTAACATCCCAAGTCCATATATATCCTATAAAACCCTGATCTTGAGCTCTTGTTCATTTTTGGCCCTTAATTGAGAATAGGGTGGTGAGCGAGTACGCGGGGCGTACTTGGGTGTACACTTAGTGTACTCGAATGTGTGCTTGTAACGCGGAGGCCACCTAGTACGCTGGGCGTACTAGGCACAGAATGAAACCCTAATTGAGGGCAAGCTCCCTATTTAAAGGACATGATGGCCTCATTTCTGGCCACCATTCCCAGACACCAAATCCTCTAAACCCTAAATCTTCGTCCTTGTAGCTGGAAGGTGCATTTAGGAGCTTGTGAGTATATCTTTGTGATCTTGAGGTGGAGAAAGAGCTTGGAGGAGAAGGAGTGAGAGCCCAGGGGTTTGGATCTGAGCCTAGCTATTTGAAAGGCTTCCTAAAAAGGTATAAAGCTTCAAGCTTTCTTATCCTTTGCTTTGGTTCATTCATTTGGTGTATTTAGGGTTTTAGTCCCAAAAGGTGGAGACTTTATGAGTAAATGAGCTCCAAAGACCTTGATCTACCCCTTTTCAGTGTATATTGTGACATAGAGTCATAAAAATCCAATCTTGGACGTTAGGAGTGAGCCATGCATGAGTTGTGAGCTTCTTAAGGAAAAGGGGGTTGTGTGTTTTGAGTGTTGGTGACCTTTTCAGCCATGCAAAGGCTTAAAGTCACTGACTTTATGGATTAAGAGACATTAGAGTGACCAGATCTGAAATATGAACCCATGTCTTAACTGATTAAGACCAAAATCGTGTGGAGTGTGAAACCGGGGCGTACGCTGGGTGTAACCCCAGTACGTGCATCGTAGGGGTCGAGCATCTCTGATTTCTGTATAGCAGCCGAGTACGCCCAGCGTAGGGGAGGTGGAACGCGCAGCGTACTCCCTGCCTTGACTTTTGTTGGCTTTTAGGGTTTGGTCAATTTGTGAACTATTGAGCCTTTAGAGGGGTAAAATGGTCTTTTACCCTTTTGTGAGTGTACAAGGATGAGTCTAGCTTCTTGAGGACCAATATTAATTAGGGATAATTATTATGTGATAGGCGGAGGCTAGACCGGTGGGTAGAGTTCGGGATTTCCGAGTACGAGGTTTTCACTTGTTAGCTTACGAGGTGAGTCTTCTCACTATACATACCTTGAGTGGTAATTTATGTGTGGCCATAGGGTCTTATGTGTATGTGTTGTGTATTGAGATATCTTGTTATTATTCTGTAATATGCTTACTGTGTACTGTATTGAGTTACTGAGTTGTGGGACCGGAGGGTCCCACTGAGACACATCGACCGGAGGGTCCCACTGAGACACATCGACCGGAGGGTCCTACAGAGTTATAGTCTCGAGTGGCAATTGTGTTGTATGTGGTATTTTGGGGAACTCACTAAGCTTTATGCTTACCGTGTTATATGTTATGTGTTTCAGGTAGTTCCGAGGATCGCGGCAAGGCACCGGCATGATTGTACACACTGGCGAGAGATTGTTTTATGATTCTGGGATTTACGTTTTATTTGTTAACATTTGAGACATATGTGATTTTGAGAATTATGAAATGAGTTATATTATGTTTTTAAAATGAGAAAAATTGTTTGAAAATTTACGTCGTTAAAATGGCTAAAGTATAAAATTCTTGCAAATATGGTCCCACGCGGTGCATAGGTGGTTTTCTACGCAGGGTGTAGAAAGCAGAGTGGACGTGGGCATTTAAAGCCCTACGCGGAGCGTACCCTTGTGTACACAGTGCATAGGTGCGCTGACTCAAAACCCTAATTTTTAGGGTTGTGACTATATTTAAAGACATTAACTCCCTTGAGATCCTCCCCATACTCAGCTCCACTCTCCCAAGCAGCCAACTCGAAACCCTAATCCCTTGTGAGCTTCTTTTGAGCCTTTTTGTGTGTTTTGGTGCATTTTGAAGAATGATGAGTCTTTCCTAGTGGTTTTGTCCAAGATCCAAAGCTTTCATCTCATTTTCCAACTTCAGAAGGTGATAACGTCTATTTTATACATATATTTATGATTTTTCTTATTATTTTATACTATGTTTTTATGCTATTTAGAACTAAAAGGTACTTATAATGCTTTAATTTATATTTTCCAGGTACACTTTGTTGCTAGAGCGGAAAAGAAGCGAAAAGGCTAGAAATTGGACTTGGAATGCAAAAAAACAAAGATTTGGGTGATGAAGCCCATTTCGCCCAGCGTACAAGGCTAGGTGGTTCCGAATCAAAACACCCATATGGTACACCGTACGCCCACCGTAATTACACTACACCCAACATACTAAAGTCGATCTAAAAAGCTATATATGGCAATTTTGGGTGAAATAGAAGGAAGATTACGACTTATAGCCATCCTTGGTCGACAAATAACTTCAAAGGTACCGTTTTGAGGGTCTAGAAGGCGGTCGGAAGGCCGCTAAGCTGACAGGAGCGGAGATTTGAAGGATTAGAGAGCGTATTATTGTGTAATATCATGTGCTTTGTTGTTTTGACCATGATTAGCATTCCCCTGTGATTCCATTATGTGTTTACTTTCTAATTTTGGTGTTAAAACCCTTTGCTTTGTGTTTATGATTTGATGAATCTTTGAGATTATTATTAATTTCTATTTGGATTGTCAAGTTTGATTGCAAGATCCACATGTGTTAAAGATTGTTACTTTATTCTCTATTATTGAATTAATAGAGTTTAGATGATCATTCTGATTATGTTTGTAACATCTTAAAAATCACAACCAATTAAAACTTTTCAAATCAACCCATTTACTAATAAAAACGTTTACAAAACCATTATTTCCAAAATATTGTTCAAAATTGAGTTTCCCAAGATCAATAACATAAAATCATGATGTATACGGTCACGCCTTCTGATGTGTGTTGAATGCACTAGTTTTAATCCTACTAACTTAAACACAAATACAAACACACGAAAGGCAGTGTACCTATCGATTAGTAATATAGTTCAATCAAGTAGGGTATCGAACACAGGGAACGGCAAACAATTAAAATAAATGCTAATATTATCTAAATAAAACAAGTAAAAAGAAAGAAAGGGTTTTCTCTAGTTTTGTAAGACTAGAAAACTTAAGTACTTAACTAATACTCAACTAAGCAACTAACAGCTATGCAAATGAGAATCAACTAAATTCAATAATGGGAAAGATTTTTGTTTAGGTTTTGAATCGTTTATTCCTATGGTTGATTTTATGACAAGTGCAATGACTAAATTAACATTGGCTACCGATTAGTGTGATTAGGCTCACGTTCGTTATTACTAATCCATATAAAACA